CCACCATCTCACATCTTTTCATCATACATACCTTGTATATAAGCACCGCCATCCAGCGACATTCTAAGGACTAAACGAGAGGTGGCACACGAACACTTTCTTACGGCTTGCGCTCCGGGTCTACTTCCCACCTTTAACCACCTCGAGTTCATGGTATATACTAGTTCACTGTATTCATGGCACTGCGGCCCAACGCTCGCTAAACCTTTCTAAAACCAAGGAGGTTGCGCCCAGCGAGTATAACGTAGCAACCTTTTCCTGTCAGATAGTGCTCAATGTACATGTCAATGGCTGCTAACGGGAAATGAGAGACAGGAGAATTCGGCTCCTAGTTTCTTACGGTTTGCGCTTCATATCTACTTCCCTCCTTTAACCACCTCGAGTTCATTCATGGTATATGCTAGTTCACTGTATTCATGGCACTGCGGCCTTTCGCTAAACCTTTCTAAAACTAAGAAGGTTACACCCAGCGAGTATAACGTAGCAACCCTTTCTTGTCAGATAGTGCTCAATATACATGCCAATGGCTGCTAATGGGGATTGCAGCGTGCGCTTTAGCTAAAAGTCGAATGCTCCTGTCTCTTATTCCCAATTAGCAGCCATTGGCAATACACTGAGCACTATTTTTATTGTTCAACAACGCACAGAAGAAATCTCTCACCGGCACCACCTTGGAGACCAAAATGGTATACTTGTTACATACTACAACAGCTACGAAGGACGAACGAGTACCGCTATAAAAAGCTTCGCCCCTAAAAATTTCGGGGGAACGAAGGGGGGGGGGGCACGGGCTCAATGTGCCAATCCTTGGCTACACCCCTGCTTCTTGGTTGTCTTAATTAGAAGCTTTACTGGCTACCACGATGGTAGTTAACATTATTTGGGCAGCACATAGGAACCTTTCCTTTTTTTCACATTTGTGGCTTTTATTTTTTTATTTGAAGTGCACCGAGCAAAAACCAGTGTCAAAACTGTGAAATATTTTGGGGCAACTAACTGCAAAGAAAGCGATCATTACTGAAGAATACTCATGTAATTATTTGTATTCAACTTAAAGATGTGAGAGTTGCATGGGCTACACGGCAACTTTTACAAAAAAAAATGGTTCGTGTATCCTAAGGGGAGCTAAAACAGCTCCAGCCGACATCTCCGTTTCAAAGAAGGCCTTTCGTTTACCCCGTACAAGGTAAGCGAAAGGCCTCAATTTCTGAGAAGCACTTAATAATTATACTAAAATCAATCTCTAAAATAGCGAAAATGTGGGCGCATATTCGGTAATCGGGAGCTATGTGTTTCAACGGCTAAGTTTCAATATATGGTGGTCGTATTTGGTGTCTCACGAAAAGAATGCTTATGTACCAGTAACACCTGGGGAGCTTACCTGAAAAGTGTTATCAGTCATGATAGGCGGAAAAATAATGCGAGCACCACTTTGGAATGTTACGAACAGTCACAAAGTAAAAAAAAATATGGCAGAAAAAATTTTTTGTATGGGCTACGGACCACGTGTTGGATACCCATGGTTTATGATTTGCTGTCTCGCGGATGTCGTAACCTCACTACAATGATGTCCCCAAGTCCGTTTGATGTACTGGTCAGCAAATGAAGAAGTTTTATAAGGCTGCAGGTGCGGAGCGCTAATTGAATGTATGATACCGGTTACGCCGTCTTGAAGTGATTGATCAATATGTGGGGTTAAACGTCCCAAAACCAACATATGATTATGACAGACGCCGTAGTGGAGGGCTCCGGAAATTTCGACCACCTGGGGTTCTTTAACATGCACCCAAATCTGAGCACATGGGCCTACAACATTTCCGCCTCCATCGGAAATGCAGCCGCCGCAGCCAGGATTCGATCCCGCGACCTGCAGGTGAGCAGGCGAGTACCTTAGCCACTAGACCACTGCGGCGGGGCGTTTTGAAGTGAAGGATTTCTCGTACGTGCTTACAACGCTGCATCAACTGCAGTGATCTCCACACTGAGCCAAGCTACAAGGCTGACTGTTCGACTAAGCACCTAATATTAAAATAGAATAATAAAAGGAAGCGAAAACCACAGTGGTGGTTACTCAGGAATGCTAGTTCGCGAGTGTTGCTTATGTATTTCGCCCATAACAGGGCAGGGCAGTACTTCATGTATTTGTTATACCATCTGGTCATATTAATTCGATAAGTGTTTGGCTGCGTCAAGCACTGGACATTCAGCATTTATTGCGGAGCCTGTTGACTTATAACCTGCAACACAACACAAACGATGTACATTGAAGAGACAGCAGCAGCAAGACCTCCACGTTGGGTAATGAACATCGCATTATTATTCATATACAATCGTTCACTTTTTTTCTCTGATTGTTAGAGCGACAAAAAACGGCAACGGTGGTTCCTTGTTTACCTTTCGCTGTCAGCCATCGCAACGAAAAAGAATAAAATTGGCAGAATAAGCCAAAACACACAAAAATTGTTTGACAACTTCATTCATCCGAGTCCCAGCTCACATACACTTCGCGCTGGCGCGCACGTGCCAGAAATGAATAAAGCGCTGGCTGCCAGACCGGGGTCCTGCTCACCCGACGCAAAGCTTTATTGGCAAGATTTAAATTTTGATACAGAACGAAAAACAAATCCGGCAGATCCCACGCATTGTGGCAATCAGTTTTTTGGGAATGGGTGAGGGATCCTACGCCGTTTTTTTTTTTCTTGTAACCCTGTGTTACGAGCATGTGTGTGCAAACTTAGCAGTTGTACGAATATCGTCAGCTTTAAAGGCGTGGCGGCTGCACTGGAGTGTCGCAAGAAATTTTTGTTGGTAGAGATGGTGTACTTTCATAATTGATTTTAACACATGAAAATTAACGCAAACTTCACAAGGGAAAAAGATGACATAACAACTGTTGTTAGTGGTGCGCTGTCCGTGTCCTCTCTTGTGCCTGCGTTTATTTTCACGCCTTAAAATTTATGACACAGTGTAAAGCTTATGGACAGACGTAATGTCAGCACCCCTGTTAGAGATGTCAAATTTATCGCAATGAAGTGCAGGCTAGGGCGCGAAGATGCGCATGTCACAAGTAGCGGCCATTGTCGTATACGAGTGATACTTGACTAAACCTACGCTCGTTACCCTATAGGAGGATAGCCACCACAATTGGCGTTGTCACGCCATAACTCTCGTGTAGGGACTTTTTCCTCAGTCGCTTCAAGCACTGGAGCGGTTTTGGTATGCTATCCAGGATGCCTGTTTTCGAATCTCAAGGTATGTCTTCTTTTATTTGTTTAGAATGAGTAGTTATATTTACAAACTTACACATGCTGAATACCATCGGATCAACTCTCATTAGAGAGAAACTACTGATATATCAGCTAGAAATGAATGAAGAGTGGAAGAATCAAATGCAAATTAAAAAATTGAAACATTAGCATCTCGCATAACATTAACCTTCAAGCAGTTCCTTGATCAATGTAAACAGAAAAAATAACAACCACAGAAAATTGTTTGAGTGCTGCGTAAGGATTGCGCTGTATTGTAGCCCGTGGACGTCTTCGGAACGTCACTTTTGGGTGGCATCATTAGTATGGCGTCTTCCATCTTCTCTCGAGCACTCGTCAGCGTCTAGAGTGCTGTCCCATGACACGCTCATCCCACCACCATCAAATTGTGCGAGCACGGCATGAAAATTTTGTTCTCGTTCCATTTTCCTTTTGTGTACTGCCCTCTTTACATCTCGTCCTGCAGAGGTTTTTTATGGCACTACTTTGAAATTCTTCGATACCTTGAAGTACAGTGATACCTTGCTACTGTTGTTTTACACCACTGGTGTAGAACGCAGCCATGCAGATGACATATGTTTATCTGCTACGCACTGCAATGCAGAAAAAAAATAGGTGTGTGGCGTAATTGTTAAGACAACCGCCTTCGTAGTGGGAAGGCCCAGGTTCAATCAAACGTTTTATTTTATTTTTCCCAGTGGTGATAATATTATCTTGTGACAGACCGATGGACGGGCAGTTTTCTTGTTGAGGAGGTATAGGAATGCTTACGAACTATTAATCCTCCACTTTATGAAAGGTGATCGCTAGCAACATCATTGGTGTAAGAATCAAGACCCTCACAGTGTTTTAATGTTCAGCTCAATGTGCAGCTTATTTAAGGTTTTTTAAAGATGTTGTGGAAAACGTTAAAAGCAAAGTGCACGAAGCTGGCGTGATTGCGTGAACTTAACTTACAGTAGGTAATGGACAAGTTTTAAAAAAGCAGCACTGCATAATTTTGTTCTTCGAGTTGCAGAAACAACTTAACAAATGCAGTTTTCTCAAGTGGAAAATAAAAGGGCTGACATCTAGAGAAACATGCTTCTGAATCAGGAAGGAAAATGAACGAAAGCAGTTGGTTCAAGTCTAAGTTTTGTCGAGAGCAAAGGTGGGCAACCTTTTGATGTGCATGGAGGGCCAAACTGCATGAAATCAAGACAGCAGTGGCCTGCATGGCAAATTGTAGTGTGGGTGAGAGGGTTGCAAGGAGGGCTTTGCAGGCAAAGTGAAAAAAAATTGCAATTGACAATAATTTACAAAACTGGATGAAAAATCTGGTTTGTTATAAGCAAGCATGTCACAAAGTTGCAATCGAACATGGGTAACGAGCGAAAACACCAATTCAGCGCTGGAAACTGTCCTGCTGGCTTTCATACCAGAAGTAATGGGAAGGGGTTCGACCAGGCCTGTAGCCAGAGATTTTTTTCTTGAGAGAGGGGGGTGGCTAAACCTGTTGAAAGTCCTGAAAAACGTTTATTTTTTATTGTTTTTCTCGGTAAAACACACATCTCCATCCATTTGGGGGGGGGGGGGGGCTGCTGGGCTACTATGTCTTCCCCACGGGCTACGGGCCTGGATTCGACGTCATTCTGAGGGCTGCATGCGGCCGCAGGTTGCCGACTTAGGTCTAGAACATAGGCCTTGTTAGGCCTTGTGAAATCCGTGGGTTGCATGCGTCTAAGTTTGGCTCACCTCATTTACGATGGTGCTTTCATAAATGGAGGTGTCATACTCCCATCTGTCGCAGAGGAGTGTTTGGTTAGTATCCACCTGCCACGAACCATTGGCGGCCTCGTACAGGCGATACATGTGGCACCGAGCGAACCCTTGGTCATGCCTGGGCACTGCCCATGACTTCCACTCGTCGCTGCTCATGTTCGTCACGTGCTCGGGTGCGCCTTCAGGACGCGCGCACCAGTGGTCCATGTCGGGCGCTATGATAGGCGTAATCATATTCGTCCACGCAGTTGGAAAAGCCCGGAAAACGACCAGAAGTATCATGAGGACATGGTAAGTGCCGAAACCTCCGAGGACGTCCAGGATATCCACGGCCTCCATTCTGCTTCTGCGAGCACACAGATGAAAATTGAGGACATAAAAACTAACGAAATGATGTGCGCTTCCATTCCGTCTCTCAACCCCTTCACCCACCCTCTCAAAAAAAGAAAGAAAAAGATGGATGAGATATCCTGGCATTCCTTATTAATCCTTCAAATGCAGGATTCAATACTTACTATTCAAGGAGGCTTTCTAAAAGTGCTTTCGTTCTTTTTTATATAAAACACTACATTACTTCGGTAAACCTAAATATAAATAAAAGCGCTACACAGAAGGCATTATTGGTGGATTATATTGACTTTAACGCATTTTCACGGTCATTTCGCGAACAAAGCCTATATCATTTCATATGTAGGATGTCCTTCGAAGGCCACATGAGAAATTCAAAGCTAGCCTGTATTTGTGTGTGTCACTTGCTTCGTTCGTCCTGTGTGTAAAGCGCTGTTTTATATTTTTATCATGGAACTCGCACAGTTTACCTGTCTTCTTCAATTTATTTGTTGATTCGTACGACTATGGTTCTATTCCACAATGACGAAGAAATTGGTGGAGCGCGGAGCCATCCTCTACCTCTTATAGCGCGAAAGGGCAGGTATTATGAAGTTCACAAGTGCGAACATATGCATGCATAGATACCAGAATGCTGTGGAAAAGCGCTGCATGCATGGTGAAAGAGACGAAAAAAAAAAGCCAGACCTGCGCGGAACGCGGAGCACAGACACAGCGAAACCTAGAAGAGTGGCCTTTCAGAGCCGTATCAAAACACTCTTGGAGTAACTGCTACAAGCACACTGCTGGGTACCCACTACGCCATACTTAATAATAATTTTGTGTAGTAGGTCACCATTCACTGCGCTATCCTTCGTCATTATTTGGAGAAGCGTGGTATCTGTTGCCAATTGTTAGGAATTTTGTGCAATTTTTTATACAGTGGCTGATGACAATGAGTAAATATGCTTGATGTGTGTATGCGCCACAGTTAATGGGAGATCAAGAACAAGCTTTTGTAATGGATTTCGGCATTGGAAGACCCAGGCGTTACGCTATTCGCATTGTGTGATGCGTGGCTGTTCCTTTGAAGTTCTAAAGTGATTTATTACTCGTAATAGCGAGATTCCTTTCACGACATCAAGCCTGCCTCAGGCCAGCTCAGAAGTGAGCTTCGAAGCGTCGCGCATTATACAGCTCGGATTCAAGCAAAGGGAGGAGTGATCCAGCATCACGCCGTCACCGAAAGTCCTTGCCCATGAATAAGTGTCGCCGATACCGATCTAGGAGGCCTGGTGGGGGTCACGGGAAGCTTCACGGCCAACTCTTGGGACTGATCAAGTGGGACAATAAGCGCATTAGAAGGTAGTCACCATGGCGCAGTCTGAGCGACTCATCTTTGCTACCTTGAACGTACGTGGCCTCAGGACTTCGCAGAAACAGGCACAGCTACGAAGACTTCTCAATCGGAAGCGTCTCGACTTTGTCGCCATCCAAGAGACAAAGATCGAGAGCGAGGAAAAGACAGAGAAGGCCCTGCGGCCTTCACAGAAGGCCACAGGGCCTTCTGTGAATGCCAATGCGTACCCTGTTCAGCATTGTACACTAGTGTTGATGAAGAGGGCAAGTATGTATGCTGCAATTTTTTGTTGCAAAGAGTGCCGTGGCGAATTATCAATCTATATGCGTTTAATGAGGTTCCAAAACTACTTGAATTATTTGAAAAAGTGCGTAATTTAGTTGACGTCAACCGATGCACGGTACTTATGAGAGATTTCCACTGCGTATGTAAAGCTACTGATAGTAATAATCCTCTTGTAAAGAGAGACAGGAGTGGCGAGCTTTTATCCGGTATTGTAGATAATGCAGGACTAATTGACATCGGTGTCTCGAATCGGGCAACGGTATATCCAAGAGTACAGGGCAGTTCTCATGTTCACCTTGACTGGAATAACGTGTCCTCATCATTCCTATCTCGTAAAATGTCCTGCAGCGTAGAAGCTGTGTCATTCTCGGACCAGTGTATTGTCATAGCGCAAATTGGTGAAAATCGTCCGAAACGATTCCGTCTTTAGTGGGCCCTTTGGAAAATAAATGCGAAGCTCCTCTGTAATCAGGAATTCATGAATCGTGTCCACATGGCAATGAGGCAATCCTTTTCTATTGCTTTGCATACCCTTGCTGCTTGGGAGCTTTTTAAACAAGAAGTTCATGCTATCGCTTTAAAAATCGGGGCTATTAAGTCTTTCTATAGAAATAATAATGAAAAGATGCTTTTTAAAAGTCTTTGCGATCTTTATGAGATGGAATGCGAAATGCCGGGAAAGTACATCAAAGACATTGAGAATATTAAGTGCAAACTACAGAGATATGATGCTGGTCACTACCAAGGGGCACGTATTAGATCTCGGAACCAGTGCACCTTAAATTCTGAGCAACCAACGCACCGAGCTTTACTTGATGAGCAACGCCATGCGATTTCTAAAGATATTCAAGACTTGTACTCTAACGATGTGCTCATAAAAGATAATAGAGACATTACTTCGGCGTTTGAAAAGTACTATAACAGTTTATTTAGCTCTCTGATGATCCTGACGGTCACTTCAAGACTAGTTTTGTTACTCTTGTGAACCCCTTGAAGGACAATGATTGTGCAGTCCTTAGTGGACCCATTACTACACAAGAAATCGAGCAAGCAATCGACAACTTGCCTTTATTGAAAACACCAGGCCCTCATGGCATCTCAGGCGAATTATACAAAGCTTACAAGAAAACGCTTGCTACTATATTGCTAAATATTTGTCAAATGAGTTATGACGTGAATACACTCCCACAATCCTTTTGCAAAAGTCACACTATGTTAATACCGAAAAAACTGACAAGGAAAAACTTCGCTTCGTCGACGGCTAGAGACCAATATCGCTGTCAAACATGAACTACAAAATTTTAGCAAAAGTATTAGCAAATAGGCTGCAATTTGCTATGTCGATTCTCATTGGGTCTCATCAGACATGTCGTATCAGGGGTCGATTCATACAAACCAATATACATGTCACTCGAACAGTGCTTCAATACCGTCATCGTTTTCAAAAGCATCTTGCAATGCTACAGGTAGACCTTGCAAAAGCTTTTGATCGCGTTCGTCATTCCTTCCTTTTTTTCTCTTCTCGAACAAGCCAATGTTGGCCAGATTGTTATTAAAGGCGTTAAACTATGCTATAATGGATGATCAACTCGTCTGATAGTTAATGATCAACTCTCCAAGCCTGTTTCTATTCGCTCTTCTGTAAAACAGGGATGCCCGATGTCACCTCTCCCATTTGCACTTTATCTAGAACCACTGTGCTTAAACATAATACAGTCGAGTTGCATTCGTGGCTTCAGTATATTAGGTAGTGAGGTTAAAAGATTAGCTTATGCTGACGATGTCGCATTCTTTTGCACAGATAAGCCAAGTGTCGAAAATGTGGTATATACTATTGAAAGGTTTGGCGTATTATCAGGAGCTCGTTTAAATGCATCTAAAAGTTTAGGACTGTGGTTTGGCTTGTGGGGTAGCACACCGAACCACTTTGCAGGGATTAATTGGACAAGAACTCCTCCAACATACCTCGGTGTACCATTGCATGCATATAGATTCAGTGCGCATTACTTGAAGGAATGCGTCCCTTAGCTTGAACGACAAGTCCAGACATTTGTACTCTATCGACTTTCAACCTTTGGGAGAACTGAAGCTTGCAATATTTTTAGCAACAAAGCTTTACTATGTATTGCAACTTATTCATTGCGCAAGATTCTATATACACAACGCTTTCATCGGATTTTCGCTAGTTTTATATGGTCTTCGACTTTTGAGCCCATGCGTTTTGAGCCCATATTCAAGCCAGTTAGTGAGGGTGGGTTAGGATTAAAACACTTTTATCTATGGCAAATAGTGTCAAGATTCTTCTTTTTTCTAGACAATTTCCATCCTGTAATCCATTCCTTCTTGCAGGTTACACTTGCTGATCACTTACCATATTTAATTGTTTCATCAAACTTCTCCGAACGCCCATGCTTGTGGGGATTCATGCAGGCAGTTTACCTCGCAGTTCAGTTCCTAAACCTCGCTTTTCTGTAGAACACCTGTACACAGTATCGCGCAAGGAGCTGTTTAAGGATCTACTGAGTACACTCTTCCCACCTCCGTTGTACCGCTCACTGTACTCCAATCTTCCAGGCCACGATGTGTTGAAGCGAGTGCGCAAAATGTACATTCCACCGAATTCAAAAACATTCTTCTATAAACTCCACTCTGAAACATTCGCGGTAAACACATGGTTAAAAAGAAAGGGTATTTTCATTCCGTCTGTTAACTGCCGTCTTGGTGATGTGCCGGAAATGATTGAACATTGCTTTGTTAGCTGCAAAGATGCCATACTGTTTTGGTATTTCCTCCAAAACTACACACGAGCGAGGATTTCACACACGAGCGAGGATTTCTGCCGCGCAACAAGAAGCGTGCGCAAGACGCTTTTTGAATTCGGCAAGGCGAGTGGCGAGAAGTATACCATCAAGTACAATAAGCTTTACATCAACAAAAAGTGCTTTGTGTACTCTCCGGTGACCGACAGCGTTTGTGAGCCGTATACACATGCGCAGAACTAATGAGAAGCTTCGTCCTCCGCTACGCATGCCGACAAAGATACGCTCTTATCCTAACAAAGTTCACTCCTCGGCCACTTCTCGTAACTACTCAGTTTTATATTCTAACGTACGAAGTGTTCTTAACAAACGGGATGCATTATCTTCAAATTTTGATAACTGCGCCGCCGATGTTGTAGTGTTAACGGAAACCTGGCTTACCCCTAACATTGCAAGTGTAGAGCTGTTCGATTGTGAAAATAATTATACCATTTACAGATGTGATAGAGAAGAATCGCCAGGAGGTGGTGTACTTATAGCCGTAGCTGATTATACAGTTTCTAGCCAAGTAGTAATAGCATCACCTTTAGAATTTGTCTGTGTTTCCCTCCATGT